CCTGCTTCTCCCTCTCCTACTCCCCCTGCTGATGTTCCCTCTCTCACTGTGTCTCTCTCTCTCAAAAAATAAATAAAATCTTTAAAAAAAAAAAAAAAAGATTGTTTTGGTTATTCCAGGTCTTTTTTGGTTCCATAGAAATTTTACTGTTATTTGTTCTAGTTTTTAAAAAAATGCTTTTGGTATTTTGATAGGTATTGCATTGAATCTGTAGATTGCTTTGGATAATATAGACATTTTAACAATATTAATTCTTCCAGTCCGTGAACCTGGAATATCTTTCCATTTGTTTGTGTCATCTTCAATTTCTTTCATCAGTATTTTATGATTTTGGAGTACAGATCTTTGACTTTTTTGGTTAAGTTTATTCTTAGGTCCTTTCTTCTTTTTGGTGTAGTAGTAAATGGTGTTGTTTTCTTATTTCTCCATCTGCTGCTTTGTTATTAGGGTATAGAAATGCTACTGGTTTCTGGGTGTTAATTTTGTATCCTTCATCTTTACTGAATTTGTTCATTACTTCTGGTTGCTTTTTGGTGGAGTCTTTAAGATTTTCTACATATAGTATCATGTCATCTGCAAATAGTGATAGTTTAACTTCTTAACCAGTGTGGATGCCTCTTATTTCTTTTTCTTGTCTGATTGCTGTGGCTGGGACTTCTGATACTGTGTTGAATAAAAGTAGCAAGAGTGGACATATTTGTCTTGTTCCTGATCTTAGAGGAAAAACTCTCAGTTTTTCACCATTGAGTATGATGTTAGCTGTAGGTTTTTCATATATAGTCTTTATTATGTTGAGGTATGTGCTCTCTAACCCCACTTTTTTGAGAGTTTGTATTGTCAGTGGAATTTGAATTTTGTCAAATGGTTTTTCTGCACCTACTGAGATGATCATATGATTTTTATACTTTGTTTTGTTGATGTGGTGTATCACATCGATTTGTGAATACTGAACCATTCTTACATCCTTGGAGTAAGTCTCACTTGATCGTGGTGAATGATGTTTTTAATGTATTGTGGTATGTGGTTGTGGTTTGGTAATATTTTGTAGAGGGTGTTTGCATCTGTGTTCATCAGGGATATTGGCCTGTAGTTTTTTTGTGTGTGGGTGTTGTCTTTTTTTGGTTTGGGCATGAGGGTAATGCTGGCCTCATGAATGTATTTAGAAGCTTTCCTTCCTCTTGTATTTTTTGGGATAGTTTGATGAGAATAGGTATTAATTCTTTTTAAAATGTTTGGTAGAGCCACCCAGACATCCCTGGTATTTCTATTTTTAATTTTTTGAGGAACCAGCATACTGTTTTTTT